TTATTGGGGGAAATGATACTGCTGCCATTGTGAAATTCAAAGAGTATCTCCATCGGTGCTTCCGTATGAAAGACCTGGGCCCACTCAAATATTTCCTAAGGATTGAAGTAGCTCGTGGCCCTGAGGGAATATTTTTGTCGCAACGGAAGTATTCCCTAGACATCATCTCCGAATGTGGACTCATGGGAGCCAAACCAACATTTGTGCCCATTGAACAGAATCATCATCTTGCGTTGGCAAAGGGCGCTCTGATGGAGAATCCAAATTGGAATCGACGGTTAGTGGGACGGTTGATCTACTTGACTATTACACAGCCTGAGTTGTGTTATTGTGTTCATATCCTAGCTTAGTTCATGCAAAGTCCACGACAAGAACATTGGGATGCAGCTCTGCGCGTAGTACGTTATATGAAAGGATATCCAGGACAAGGTCTATTGTATCGATCTGATAGCGATCTGCATCTATATGCCTATTGCGACTCTGATTGGGCAAGCTTCCCATTGACACGACGATCGCTGACTAGCTATTTTGTTCTACTTGGGCAGTCATCGGTTTCTTGGAAAACGAAAAAACAACATACCGTGTCGCGCTCCTCTGCAGAAGTCGAATATCGTTCAATGGCTACGACAAGCTGTGAGCTGAAGTGGATGAAGAAACTTCTTTTGTCCTTTGGGGTGGCGCATGATGAACCCGTGCATTTGTATTGTGACAATTAGGTAGCTTTGCACATAACCGCAAATCCAGTGTTCCATGAGCGGACAAAGCATATTGAGGTCGACTGTCATTTTGTTCGCGATGAGCTATGGCGTGGGAACATTGTTACTTGCCATGTTCGAACCATAGAGCAGTTGGCTGATATCCTGACAAAGGCTTTGGGAAAAAAGAAATTTGCATATTTCCTTGGCAAATTGGGCATCCGGAATCTACATGCGCCAATTTGAGGGGGAGTATTGGGAAACCAGATCTGCACGTAACCTTCCTACCGAAACGCAACCTTCGGTGGGTGCTCTGTATTCCTAGATGTATTTGAACAATCAACTCCTAGTGAAAGTGAGGCTCCTATTTGTATATATAGGGATGTACCTTTCAAAATAAGGGAATAAGAAGAAGAAGAATTTCCGCAAAGTTTTCAGTAAACGAAGTGGGGCGCAGTGGGGGTGATTCCATGTAGGAGGAGACTGGCGGTGATGACGATCCAATCGTGAGACCGCATCAAGAGCCTATTGTTAATCCTGAGGTACGTGATGATGCCAGAGTTCATTAGGATGAGGTTCAGTATGTCAGTCTAGGGCAGGAGCAGCTGTCGACTATGTTAACTAAGCAGGCCACTCAGGTGGTGGAGTTGGGGGCAACCCAGTTGTGGTTGGAGATGTACGGGAGTATTCATGTGCTAAAGTAGAAGATGAGGTTTGGGTGCTTGGTCCGACATGCAACGCTCGTCTAGAGAGGGATGGAGATAATAATGCTAGTGCTGATGATTCCTCACTCCTGGTCGAGCTTTTTGCCATTAAGAGGGAATCAATAGAGTATTATGAGAGATAAGAGATGCTCCCTCTTGGCGTTGCCATGGTTGACCGTGTTAACATCCAGGTTGTCATGAGGCGTGAGCACTTTACTATATCGCAGAGCTCCCTCTTTGTGATTATGAGAGTCTCCCAAAACAATGTGATCAGAAAATGAATTCCGTCATGTCACAATCTATAGGTACTCTCTCCTGGTCCATGCCTGTGTTTACCTGATGTCCGAAGACGTGTAACTCTTTTGCCACAATGGGTTTCTATATGGAGCGTGTGAAAAAGAGGATCATTCAAATGGCCCACATATTTTTGAAGACCGTTCATAAAGAGTACGTGCCCTTGTGTTACAGTTTGACACAGACACAGGCTTAGCCTTACCTACGCTTGGCAGGCTTACGTTAAGGGACACCACCGTCATTTTCGCCTGTAAGATTTTTGGAAGAATTGATGTTATCTTCAAGCAGACCATCAAAAGCTTAACGTACTCTTTGAGGAGGGGTGGTCGACCTCCTTGGGTGCCTAACCTTGGCACTCCTAGACCTTTATCCCTTGCGGGGCGGCCCTGGTTAATGGCTAGCATGGCTACCAGGGTTCCTCATGGGTGCACACATGCTCATGGGGACAGTGTTGGACCGGCACTGCGCTGCTGACACTCAAGGGAGGCTTGGCATGCGGGCTTGGCTCAAGCATGATCCTTCGCCATGCCAGCCCCTTGCCCAAGCTGAGTGAGCTATCACGTTGCCTCTAACGCATGGGTGTGTCCCGGCCCAAGAGGTTGCCTATCAACATGGCACACAAGTGCCTATCATCATCGGCATACAGGAGACCCTTCACATCGGTGCCAAGTCACCTCCTCGGTGCACAGCCGCCTTGCATTATGGTTGTCCCCCTTTAGCACGTAAGCGGCGCCTCCCATGGACCAGTCTGAGTCAGCCGAGTGCCCCCGCCATTGGACTTGAGGTCATGATCCAGTGCTACTGACCTTGGTGGAGCCATCCCATCGGGCAACTCCTAGCCTCCAAGCACACAAAGGCTTGTCCTGGCCTACCTTGGCCTGGACGCCGCACGGGTTTCTTCTACTGTAGAACTACCCCCGTGACAGTTGGTATCAGAGCAAGCTAGCCAATTGCTGCCGTAGTTGGTGTCAAGCAGATTAGCCCAGAGCTAGTTGAAGCGGTCATCACGACAAGCAGCACATTATGGGGTGCGGTCCCTAGGCACTTCCACCCAGGATCAAGCAGAATTTAGATCAGGCCTGGCAAGAGTTCATTTCATTGTTCGTGTCTCCATTCCAATGACCCTAAAACAGCTTCTCTTGCGGGGGCAGACACATTGGTTGTTGTCCTCATGCGGGGGCAGACGCGTGAGCCTTGATAGGAATGTGGGTACACTGGCCGTTGGAGCATTGTGGCCCTACACCGGCAATGCATCGGAGGACATGCTCAATTCCAGGCAGAACACTTGCAGCAGCAACAGCTCATCACAAGGCGAGTGCATGTTTGGCAACATCATGGGTAAAAGTTGCCACCACTCGCACACAAAGCGGTCAGGTCTCCTTGAGGCAGTAGAACAGTGGGGCCCCCTCGGAGTGAAGAGGTAGCCCGAGTCGGCGAGGCGAAGCGTAGTTTCGAGGGCCAAGAGAGCATAAGCCATGGCTAGGTTTGAGTAACCCGAATCGGCGAGGTGAAGTTTGCAGGCCAGCATGGTGAAAAGGGTACCCAGGACACATCGCCAACATGAGGAGTAAACCTATTAGCGTGTTCGGTAGCACCACTGAAAAGCTACCAAGAAGATGGTCAAGCTTTGAGGTAAAGATGATACATGGGGCGGACCTCCGCGAAGCACCACACACATTTCTTCGAGGGCCCTTCTTTCATAGTTCAACGGCATAGCCATTGCGCGGTTTGAGTAACCTCAACACTGGGGGTGAAGTCCAGGCAGGCCAGCATGGTGAAATGGTTCCGTCCCCATAAATGGACACCAACATAGGCAAGACCCGGGCTAGCCAGACGAGCCCTGGAACTGGCAAGGAAGTGGATGGCGCGGGACACAGACGCCCATTCACGAGGAAGACCATTGTCGAGGATGACAATGGGTTGAGTGGGGGAGCCTGTTACAGTCTGACACAGGCTTAGCCTTGCCTACGCTTGGCAGGCTTACGTTAAGGGACACCACCATCATTTTTTCCTGTAAGATTTTTGGGAGAATTGATGTTAATTTCAGGCAGACCACTAAAAGCTTAACGTACTCTTTGAGGAGGGGTGGTCGATCTCCTTGGGTGCTTAACCTTGGCACTCCTAGACCTTCATCCCTTGCGGGGCGGCCTTGGTTAATGGCTAGCATGGCTACCAGGGTTCCTCATGGGCGCACACATGCTCATGGGGGCAGTGTTGGACCGGCACTGCGTTGCCGACACTCAAGGGAGGCTTGGCATGTGGGTTTGGCTCAAGCATGACCCTTCACCACGCCAGCCCCTTGCCCAAGCTGAGTGAGCTACCCCGTTGCCTCTAACGCATGGGTGTGTTCTGGCCCAAGCGGTTGCCTATCTACATGGCACACAGGTGCCTATCATCATCGGCATACAGGAGACCCTTCACATTGATGCCAAGTCACCTCCTCGGCGCACAATCGCCTTGCATTATGGTTGTCCCCTTTAGCACGTAAGCAACGCCTCCCATGGACTGTTTTGAGCCAACCGAGTGCCTTGACCATTGGACTTGAGGTCATGATCCAGTGCTACTGACCTTGGTGGAACCATCCCATCGGGCAACTCCTAGCCTCCAAGCACACAAAGGCTTGTCCTGGCCTACCTTGGCCTGGACGCCGCACAGGTTTCTTCGGCTGTAGAACTACCCTTGTGACACTTGTCCCCTAAAGAACAAGCCGAAGTTCGCAAGCGGCTCATGTTTGTTGATGCTATTATTAAACAAAAACAAGTGACATAAATAAGAATTATTTTTATAATGGAAATATAAAAAATGTAATTTGAATTCAGTGGCTTTTTAATTGTGTGGGTAAAAAATATAATTTCAATTATTATTTTTCATTTTATTCAAATTCCTCTCATTAAGTCATATATTTTAGGAATCAACGTCCATTTTCTCTCATTAAATAACATATTTAAGATATTTTCTCATCAATAAATTATGTTATTAGATCTATATTCAATATTCTTAACAATATGTGTCTTATTTTTTTGAAAAATAAACCAAAAACTGGATTTATCCTTCTACCTAGGTAGTGAATAAGGTCAACTATCTATATCAAATGGGTCAAGCTATAATGTCATAATTAAATATTAAAAAAATAAAAAAATAAGAACACAAAAAATACAAAACTTTTAGGGCATCTCTAATATATAATTACTTTATACATAGAAATATATACAAAATATAAAATAATTTGAATGTATATTATTATTATTTTCATCATCTAAAATTGTCACGTGCTTTTATATACTTTAAACCTTTTTTTGGAGTGAGTTTAAGGAGCCTCGGCGGACCTTCTTCTCTACTCTCTCTCTGTCTCTCTCTCTCTTCGTCCATGGCAACGTCTCGTCAGATTATCCGTTCTTCCTCGCGTTGGTCTTCCTCATCTCCGACCTTCAAATCCATTCTTACTCAAAGCCTCCGCCGCTTCAACAGCTCATCTCCCACACCTTCACTTCGCAATCAACACCAACTTCAACACGAGTTCTCGAAACCCAATGAGTTCTTGGGCAGCTGGAAACCCCCGAAGGATCCCAAAGAAGCAGAGGCAAAACTGGGGCAACTGAGGAGGGACTATGCCAAGCAGGTCAAGGAGCTCCGAAAGCAGTACATCTACGAGATGGAGTTGCAGAGGCTAGAACAGCAACAGAAGGACGAGGCCAAGCGAGAGGCCATGCGTCTCGCTAGGGAGGAAAGGAACGCTGCCAAGGCTGCCATGGCCCAGGCCCGAGCCGAAGAGCGGAAGGCGTTCGAAGAGGAGTTCCGCCAAACCCTTGTGAGTTGATCGACACCCTTCTCTCTTGTTGGCTTGCATGTGCTGGCATCTATCGATAACTAACTTGACGTTTCAGTTTCCATTTCATCTTATTTTACTTAAATGCGAACCTTTCATTGATGATGTAGTCGTTGATGATTTCTTTATGGTAACCATTTTTCTGCGTAAGAAGGTTAAAAATCTTCCCAATCGGTTCAATAATTTTAACCAGGGGAATATGTATATAAAGTGTTTGTTGTATTTCTCCAGACATGTGCTTTGTCTCCTCTAAGAGAAAATTCTCTGTTGCAGTCCCAATAGCCTTATCCCTACCGTATGAGGTTGATTATTTAAAGCCTGTTCCTCCATTCTGCATTTCTTTAGGGTCATATCTTCTATTCGAAAACGTAATGGTTCAAGTTGTAATCATCATAGACTTGCTACTCTTCCACTTCAACATATTGTCTCATAATTGTCATCTGGTGCTGAAGGAGATATATTGGGGTGGTTGGGGCACAATGATATGTAGAAGAATAAAGTGATCTCCAATGCTCTGGACCTCTGTTTTTGATGCAGTTTACAAAGGCACCATATGGCACCAAAATGGGGTATCGTGCTTGCAGATGCATTGCAGCAAAATGATGTATTTTTCTGGGCAAAATTCTGGGTTACCCAAAAATCAATCGTTCTTCCTTTTTTCTCAAACCAAGTATGAACAAGGCAGTAGAACAATAGTAATAAACAATATTCAAGCTAAATAAACTGCAAGAGCACAATGGACAAGCACACACAATGATTTTTAATGTGTAAAACCTCTCCAATGTGAAGAAAAGAAAAAACCACGGGGCACTAACCCAGTAAAATTTCCACTATAATGATACTAATGGGAATCCAATCAACTCTCTAGCAGCAACTAGAAGAAACAGAACGTCAAGAGAAGAAACCCCCTAGGTTACAATCCAAATCTCTCAACAACAAAGTGGAATACAATGTTATGGGCCCGGGCGTAGGATCTCGTCACGGGGCGGTTTGCTGGGAAAACTCCTTGCCTTCCCCTTGCCTTCCCTTTGCGAGTTGACCCTATGATGGCGGACTGAGGGGTGATTTGTTCAAGAGATCACCTAACTCTCCCTGTTTTCTTCTTGATTGAAAATTTGATGATTTTATTG